AAAACAGATTTTTGAAATTTTCCGTAAAATGTTCTCTCCCGTAATTCCACTATTTTCGGATGATTTAAGACATTGCGCATCAATAAGACTAGTCTCCTTGTTGATAATTTTCTTTAATGTTTTTTTTTGGTGTTGTTCAACCGGAATTTATGCCCTCGCGAATTATTCATCACCTTTTTTTTATAAAATCATCATAAATATGAATATTACTGCAAAAACTAGAGTCTTTATGACGTGGTGATTTAAGACATGAGTCACAAATCAACTCAGTCAACTTAATCAGCTGAGTTTTTGAGGAATATTTTCAAATCTAAGGGAGATAGCGACATTTTCGTAATTACATTTATTGTAGCTCTCAATTGGCTCTGCAAAAAAGTTTATAACAAAAATTTTGCTATCTCCATTAGATACCGAGATATTCTCTGAAAACTGGCCAATAGTCAAAATTGACTTGAACCGTTTTACCACTTCGCTACTGAATTTTTTACTTGAAGTTTCAGGAGTAATTTTCTAACAGTAGTAAACTTTCCAGCGTGGCGGCTCCTGCATTCTATTTCTCACATTAAGAATTACTGTTTCCCCAGTAGAAAATAATTTTGTATTCTTTCCGCGTGGGAGCACTAACCTCTTAACAAACTGACGAAAGCGTCTTAATTTCGGACACTAATTTTTCTAGTATCAATTCGCGGACTTGTGTTGAACGCGTGCAGGGCACACGCCGTGTCTCTACCATCTCGGAAATACCTCCACGCCCAGACGCGTGTCCTTGTGTACATAATTTTTCTTGATCGTATTATGTGTACTCTCTCATTCGGTGTACGAGAGAGTAACAACGGAGAACCAGTATTCCCCGTGGATTGCGATCGGGGCCGTGGGAATGAGCCGCGCGACGATGTCATCATCACCGGGGGAAGTATAGACCATTTAGGAGGGACTCGAATATTTTTTTCGAGCCCTTCCTCCGCATTTGAAACACCCGAAACGTCAGAATTAATACTTTCCCCCGTGGAACTGATGGAATTTTTTTTTTGCGGTGATTAAATATCACTTGCGATGGAAATTGAACGTGAAATGCTGATCGACGGTCTATACTTCTCATTTCAATCGTGGATATCGTGCGCCGGGCACGAGCGACTCTCGCGTCTCGTCACAACTCAGAAGTAACCAACGATTTCGTATCGCTCGGTGAAAAATATTCCAAATGTTTTTTAATTAAAATTTCACGGTCCGGTTTTTGAGAATTGGGGGAAAGTTTTTTTCTCATTACGCGGGGAGAACGATGGAGTCATTACAGTCACATACCTTACAAAATTTACAAATTAAGGCACTCTGGGAATTTTTTTTCTGGTAATCATTTGTAAGCAATCAATTTTTTTCCCATTTTCCTTTAAAAATCGAAATTGTGAAACACGTTCTCGTTCTTTTTTCTTCTGAAATCAATTTTACCCGTGAAAAAATTGGGTTTGCGAAAGTTTAAACTATTTTTATTATTTATTTAATAGAGGAGACTGAAGAAAATTAATTTTATGTAAAATCCACAAGAATTTATATCTCAAGTAGAAAATTCTCATTTTATTCTGCTTTATCTGATGTAAAAAAAACTGCAATTTCATGTTTTCCATTTTTCACGCAATTATATTTCAAAAGATGGTGAAAAAATTGAATGTAATGGCTGTAATCAGGGCATCAACTAATTCCCGCAACGATAATTTAATCGTTTAGCCCTTGAATTTAAATTTCATCCACGTAGACGATTTTTTTTTTACCTCCATCAAGGATACTTATCGAAATAATAACGTACAACGTAAATACACGGGATAATAAGTGAGTTCATTACGGGAGAGAGAGAGAGGGAGGAGAGCGATGAAGAGAGATGAATGATTTTATGTAACGGATGTATCACAATCCTCGTTTTTTGAGAAAGTGACTGACGTCGTGGAGATGAAAATGCGTCAGATGACGCTCATGTGATCGTGTGTCACTATCCCCCCCCCCGTTTCCCCTCTTCACATTACCCTCACAATTAAAAAAAAAATCAGTCATTTTTCATCTATACAAATGCAACTTCATTTTTTCTTTATCAATTTTTACATTTTTCGTCTCTATAAATGAAATAATTTTTTTTTTGTGACTGTCAGATATTTTGCCAACAATTCGCTTGGAAATTATTTTTAACAATATTTCAACAAAGGAAAATTTTTGCGTCTCGTGATCGTTTTTTCTTTATCAAATGACGGTTATTTTGCATCACCGCGGAGGTGTCCTCGTTGAATTAAATTTCTATAACAGTAATTTATATATTAGACAGTCTCTAATTTATATATTTACGACTTTGGGGGAAATGTTCGGTGGATAATGAGCGATTTTACCTGGTGATGGGAGGGTGACTTTTGGGGGAAAATATACCTGTTTAGAGAGTATTGATTTTGTGGGAAATGGTAATGCTAGAGCTCTACTATGAACAGTTGCAGGGTGCGACATCTTCGGTGGAAGCGGTGAATTTAGTCGAGAGTCGGGTCGTTTGCGCGCGAAGTGGTACCCTAATTTCGCGCCAATTCTCTCATTCTCCTGTTGAAAAAGTGCAGAAAAAAAATACAAACGTAAAGAAAGAAGATTTTTTATTCCGGAAATTGACAGATTTCACAACATGTGTTGTGTAAAAATTTCTCCCTCGATGAATAGTGGATTTATTCCGTTTATTTGGGGTTTGACGACAGTAATTGGAGGGAAAGTACCGCCAACAGCTGATGAATAAAAAAATGTAACGGAATTTTGATGGCAGGATTTGACAAATCTTAACGGATGTTTTATCTTGAAAACTTGGGGTTTTCAATCAATTGAGGTTTTACTCCATTTATTCGGGGAATAATGCCGGTAATTGAGGAGAAAGTGGGAATATTGCCCCCATCAACCCCTTTCTTCCCGCTATTTCCTCCAGCTGCGAGGAAAAAAATATGAACGGAAATTTTGATTGAGGATTTGTCAAATCTTGAAACATGTGTCGTGAAAAAGTTTCTCCCGATGAATAGTGGATTTATTCCATTTGTGCGGGGTATGATAACAGTAATTGGAGGGAAAGTATCACCAACAGCTGACAAATAAAAAATATAACGGAATTTTGATCGCGGGATTTGACAAATCTTAAGGGATATTTTAGTTTGAAAAGTTGGGTTTCCATCAGTTGAGGTTTTGCTTCATTTATTTGGGGAATGATGATAGTCATTGAGGAGAAAGTGTGCAGTAAGCTCGGGTATATCATCCCCATCCACCCCTTTCTCCCCACTATTTCCTCCAGCTGCAAGAAAAAAATGAAGAAAATTTTGATGGAAGATTTGTCAAATCTTGAAACATGTGTCATGAAAAAATTTCTCTCAATGAACAGTGGATTCACTCCATTTATTGGGGGTATGATAGCAGTAATTGGAGGGAAAGTATCACCAACAACTGACGAATAAAGAATATCCGAATTTTTTGTTATTGAAATTCATCAAATCTGAACATTTGTTCCATAAGAAAAATTTATTTTTGAATCAATTGACATTTTGTCTCATTCATTTGTCAAATAATTATTTTAATTGAGGAAAAATTGTCCGGTAAAAGATTAAACATGACCCCCAGTTCACAAATGAAAAAAATTAATTAATTTGTTTTATCTTCTCAATAAAATTTCAATTCAAAATTTTTCCCACAATAATTATTATCAAAAAGAAAGTATTCAACAATCCCTCGAACACCTCCATCCGCTCCAAAACCGGTGAACAGCCCCAATTGACAGACAAAAAAAAATTATTTATTCATTTCATCTCCTCACAAGAAAAATAAATGAAAATTACTCAAAACTTGTGCCAAAAAAATTCAATTCACCCCAAAAATAATTGTCCCCGGAGAGAAAGTATTCAATAAAGCCTCGCACAACCCCTTCCCACCCCCTGTCACCCATAAACCCAGTCAACAACCGCATCTCATCATTATTCCACCAGATGTGATACGAAAACCAACCCCAAACCTCAGCAATGGAAAATCATGCGAATTCGCCGATTACCCCTCTCCCGACCATGTGTAACCCATATGGACAACACGTGTGCACATTGTAAACGTTTCCGCATGCATAACTGGTTTTGAATCTCCTCTGGATTGATATCTCCATTGTCAAAACGTGGGACCCACACACCCCAATAATTCAATTTACCATGAATGATAGTCTATTCTGGCCTTTAAATTGAATCAATTAACAAGAAAAAATAAGTAACATTTTTCTAATTTGTCGAGTCGAAGTAGCCTGTCAAGATTGCCTGTAAAATCTTCGTTATTTTGGCGCCAACTTCTAGGAATGTCGGTTAAACTCAAGGGGAGACCTCGACCCCAAGTTTTTTTCCGGGTCTCCCCTCATTTATCTTAGAAATGCATTGTGTGAAAAGTCGGTTGGCCCCAACGAACTTCAAGGACCGTTGGAGCACTCCCTCGGCGATCTGCATCGAAGAAAACGAAAAATACCAAGACAAATGGACAAACGAGAAGACAATTCACCCAAAGGACCAACCAACCACGGAACAACGAGAAGAATCGAACGAATTCCGGAGATCTGAAGCCTTAAAAACTAGAGGGAAAGGGATGATGTCAAAGCACAAAACAAGAAATTACGATATTAATTATAAAATGTATTTCTTTCAAATGGAAGACATAATTGAGCAATCGCCCATATCACAATTAGCAAAAGTAACCTAGGACTCTATTACAATATCACAAATGCGGTCTGATTGCCGCCAAAATAATCGAGTAATCAGAATTGAGTGAGTACTGAATCGACATCAAAGGAGCCATGAAAAATAATTGAGCAATAATTCAGGCTAAACTCCAACTTCTATCAACTATCAATCACAGTTTGATGAATTCAGGATGCAGTCTCGCTGTCACTTGAGGCTGGCTGACAGCTCGAATCTCCACAAGTTTCATTTGTGGATTGAGGTAGAATCACAACAGTGGTCGGGAAATTTCTCGCCTCAGGCCACTTGCATCTCGGGTACTTGATTCTGGGAGAATGCACACTCCTTGTAGCAGAGATCACTGTCGGTGAGGGCTAGTGTTGTCCAGTAGAAGTCACCGGCGCAGGTGTGGGCAAAGTGAACTGGCACATAGCACTGACCAGGAACCACAGGCACAACTGTCATTTGACCGTCTAGGCACACTGTGATGGCAGCTCCCTCCTCGGCACTTGCAAGATCAGCTAGGAGACGTTGCTCGAGGGCCTCGTTGCTGTTGTTCTGATTGTCAACTTCCTCGGTGAAGATCTCCTGCTGGGGCTCGGCCTTCTGATGGCTCTTGATGTTTGAAGTCTTCTTTCTCATCAGACGGAGCAGTGGCTTCAGCAGCTTTCGCAGGCGCTTGGCGTTGCTCATCCTCTTGTTGTCAGCTGACAACTTGAGGTTGTACAGGTTGTCGTTCAACTCGTTCTCGTACTCGAACACGTGGCTCATGGTGGTGGCCATCTTTGTTGTTTCTTTAGTTTATCTTTAGGTTGTCACAGGGATACACTTCGCGATCAGCGAAAACTCACTTTGCAAATGCGTTTTGAGATTTTGGATAATCTTGGAAACGGTGCTTTGGGCTTTGGTGCCTTTACTCGAAGCGCTAGTGAGCGAATGGTGGTTACTGAGAGCTACCCCGGGGTTTATATAGCCCTCACCAGGCTATGGGGTAGGGAGTGGGGGAGGCAGGTGCACTCTGGCTGTGGGAACTTGGAGAATTCGGTGCTTCCCACGTCAGGGTCCACGCCGACCATCTGCCGTATAGGACGGTACACCACCCTAACCCATCCAACCCCGGTGGCTCTCCTTTCTACTCACTTCTTTCCCCCTCTGGCCATCTTACTCTCTCACTCCTACGCCCGACGGGGCAGAGCGGCATCTCCCCCACAATGAGGGATCCTTTTCCAGACTCTCCGGTTTCTTTATGAACCGTTCGAGATTGCTTGCCTAGGTTCTTCGAGATTAGGGGGTGGGGACGGGGGAGATGGGGAGAAACTTGTTGCGACACGTTTCGGGGAGGGTGAGTGGGCCTTCATTGGGGGTGGGGGTGAATGCGCTTGTGGTAATTATTTATTTATTTGTTTGGAAAATTTTTTTGGTGAAAGTTGGAAAAAAGTGGTCATTGGGGTGAGGAGGGACGAGAGATGGGACGAAGGAGGTTCGCGGGGGTCCGAGTAGCTTCGGATTCTTGAATTGTTCTCCAACATTCTTGAAAATTAGGGGGATTCTACCCCACAATGAGAGGAATTTTTTTTCTTTGGTTTGCCTAGGGATTGAGTGAGTTTTTTCCGTTTTTCCGTCACCACTGATTAATTTAATCTCAGGGTTTTTTCATTTTTTTTCTTTGATTTGCCTAGGGATTCAGTGAGTTTTTTCCGTTTTTCCGTCACCACTGATTAATTTAATCTCAGGGTTTTTTCAAAGATTTTGAGGTGAATTTTTGTTAGAATTGTAAAATGAAGAAAATGCAATGGAACTATTAAAATTTACTATAATTGTGGGTAAAAATGCTGCAGCTTTCACTCAAATTTTTTTTCACTAAATTTTAAATTGAAATTCCTGGGGGTAATAGTGAAAAAAAAATCTCAGTTCGACTCTCCGGTTTTTTCTTCTCATTCTTAAGCATCTCCTTGGTTTACCTAGGTATTCTCGTCATTCAGGGCAACGCGGGGGTGGGATAAAGCGCCTTTATCTAGTTCTGACGGGATCCAAACTTGTTGCGACACGTTTCGAGGAGTCTCCATTGTTAGTTATAAGGTATTGCATCATCTCGTGATGATTTTTGAATGTTTTCCCCGTTAAAAAATTTGAAAATCAGGTTGGAAGCCTGAGTAGAGGGATGTTTTCCTCCGCAGGCACTTGGTAGGGGGTCCAAGTGTCTCTGGATGGCGACTAGCCCCTCCGGTCATTAAGAAGGACCCTTGTTTTTTTTTCGCTTCGTAAAACCAAATGATTTTTGAGAGAAAAAAGTCAGACCCCGTGGGGTGGCATTTGCCTGCACACGTCTGCATAACGACCCTTCTCTGGAGTCTAGACACACACGTGAGGACGTGTTAGGCACGTTTTCTAACCATTAATTTCCGTTTTTTTGTCGAGACATTTCAAAACATTTTAACGTATTTCATCTTATGAATTTTAATTATCGAATTTAATTTGACTTGATATTCCATATGAATGACGTTCAAAATTAAATATTTATTTCATGTAAAATCATCATAAAAATATTCAACAAACATTTTAAATTTTTTAGTGTCTCAGGGAAAAATTTTAGAAATTCATTTTTGTGATTTTAACTTGAAAAACTGACGGTTTAGTGCTATCGACTTAAAATTTGCTTTTAAAATATTTAGTGAGTTCGTACGAGGGTTAGAATGTAAACTAAGTGCACCTGAGCACTCACAGTTGACCTGTTGGGGTCGGACCCCTCCCCAGCCAAGAGTTATCTCCCTTTAATCTCTTGTTCTCTCATCCCGTTGCCTAGGGGAGAGAAAACGGCACCGTAAAATGCCCAGAAAACTTCCTCTTCGCTGTATCCACGGTCCCTCTCCCCTCTGGCAATGCCCCCACAGGTAGACAACCCCGTGAAACTATTTGTTTTCACTTGCAATGCTGTTTAGAGCAGGTGAAGTTTATGCGCCCTCGCAACCTGCGGGACAAACTTATGGGTAATTTAACCTCAGGGTCATGCCAGTGCACTTGCTACGTGACATTTTGAGAGTTTTCATCTGTTTGTAATGATAATTTTTTTTTTTTTTGCAGAGGCCGATCTTGGGGCAGGTAGTTCAGACGGAAGGGACTCTCCTGGACGAGAGGAATGTAAGTTGGACATTTTCATTTCTCAACTTCACGATTTTTTGAATACGTTGAGACAATTTTAACGAAAATTAGGAGAAAATTGACAATAATGATTTTATGGAATTGTTAGGGAATTTTTTAAATAAAAATTGAGGAAGAAATTCAATTTTTATTCGTTAGTTTTTGAATCGAATTAGACGATAGATTTTTGTTGTGAAGATATTTTGAAAGTCAGTTATTTTCAAGATTCAATTTTATGAATTTTTGAAAAGGTGGAGACAATTTTTACGAAAATCAGAGGAAGATTGGTAAAAATGATTGTGTGGAATTGTTAAGGAATTTTAAAAAAAACTGAGGAAGGAATTCAATTTTCATTCATGAGTTAAAAAAAAAATTTAAAAAGAATATTGGTTATGAAAATATTTTTGACTTGACGATTTTTTTTAATCAGAGGCAAGCAATTCCAAAAAGATAAATTTTATCTGTGAAAATTATTTTTGTTCATTTTGACATAATTTAAGTTGTTAATCGTCTATTGCATTTGCTGAAATTTTGGGTTTTCATCTGTTTCAAATCACAATTTGTTGGGGATTTTACAGAGTCTCCGCAGTTCGGCCAGGTAGTTCCTTGGACGACGCTGAGCGAGAGAATGTAAGTCAGATATTTTCCTTCTCCAATTTTACAATTTTCCAACGAAAGCGTAAATACAATTGTCAGGAATTTAAAAAAATGAAAAACTCAGCGAAAAAATCCTTCATTTTCTTGCCTCGACTTTTAAAACAATCGAAGAAACAAATTTTCTTTCTGATAATTTCACTGGAAAAAATTATCTGAAAATTTCTGGTGAAAAAGGGAGGAGTTCAGAAAAAAACTGAATAATTTAACCAAAAAACTAACGAAATATTCTCCACTTATCCCTCATCATGTCGTCGGAAATTTTTGTAAAATTAATTCACGAACAAAAAATATTTCATATAAGTATCAATTAAACTTGAACCTAATCCATAACCGGTTTACAATCAGCATTGCTGCCCCCCTTTCTCATCAAAACTCACTGTAGCCCCAGTAACAAAAAAATTCTCTCGTTACACATGTCCACGAAACACCGAATAGATTCAAAACCGGTTTCTCCCCATAATTGCAATTCACTCACGAAAAATCCCCCTCCCATATAGATTCATCCGATTGTAATCAGTCCCCTAAAAGCCCAGGAGAATCAAAATAAAGGAGACAAAAAACTCAAAATTTCATTCATCGACGCAGGTGGCGAGATAAATAAAATAAATAATCAGGAAAATGCATTAATAAATGACGAAATTTTCGTCATTAATCCAATTCGTAATGGATATTTGAAAAATATCCTACCTCACCAATTTTTTCAGCTTCTCACACAAAAAAATAAGATATCTCGTGAAAATACTAAATTTTGCTACATTATGGCACAATTTTTTTCAATTTATCAGGAAAAAAAATAGAAGAAATAAACGAAAGGAATAATCACGAAAATGCCGCAATAAACGACGAAATTTTCGTGACAAATTCAATATTTCTATTAAAAAAATATAAGAATAAAAAATCCTAGTAAAATTGAAAAAAATAATTACGGAAATACATTACCGCATTATATTCTTTCTTCTGAAGATTTAACTCATCTAATAGTTCCCCCCAAAAGCCCAGGAGAATGAAAATAAAAAATCGCTAAAAGAGACAAAAAAAAAACTCAAAATTTCATTCATCCACGCAGGTGGCGAAATAAACAAAACGAATAACCCCGAAAATGCAACAATAAACGACGAAATTTGCGTGATGAATGCAATTCTTTTGTCCCGAGGTATAAAATTGTGGTTTTTGGAGGGGCCCGAATACACCTCCAATTTGAGGAAAAAATTTTGTTACTGAAGGGAGCTATTACCTCACCAAAAAATGAAGGAGGTGGTTGTTACGTTTATTTCTGTACCCCCGAGGCTCGTCTCATTCATTTTTCCCCCTCTCTCTCTCTCTCCCTCTCCAGCATTCATTAGCATATAAATAATGCAATGTCCAACCAGAAGTCAAAGAGGCGAAAAACTCGAGTGAATAAAGTACCGAAGGATAAAGGGATAAGATGACTGGAGATGTTGAAACAGTAGTGGTTGACCCCTGGGGGCTCTCTAGGGAGTTGCACGTACAAACAAGAAGTTCCCGTGTGTGACGTCAGCGGCAGGTGCAACCTGTGTTCCTTCCGTCTCACTTCATAATACTCTTTTTAGTTTTTGTTGGGTGAATGAAAAAAAAATGAGAATTTCAAGACCAGTTCTACTCCACTCTTCCTTTCTTGAACACGTGTGGAGAGGGGGAGGGGGNGGGGGGGGGGGGGGGGGGGGGGGGGGGGGGGGGGGAGTGGACTTGTTTCTTTCACGCTACGTTCGCATGTAATCGTACCGATTTTCGAGATGAGAGATAGGGGCAGAGTGGGTTTTGTTACGGTTTGGCCGAGGGATCATATTTTTTTCTGGGGTTTATAATCGATTTATATCTTGAATTAAATTTTTTTTGAGGGAATTGAACGGAAAGAAATTGTAGATTTTTTCTCGAAGGGAATTTATTCCTGAATATTTATGTTAAAAAAATCCTGGGATCTTACAGTTTGAGAATTCAGTCGATTAATCCTTCGAAACGGTATTTTTTAGTTGAAAATAATAACCGCAATTTTATTCAGCGCAGAAATAGTTTTTTAGGTCTTTATTTTTTTTTGTTTTTATGTAAAAATAATGGAAATATTACTAGCGAATTCAATTTATTCCTGAATTCAGAGTGGGTTTTGTTACGGTTTGGCCGAGGGATCAGATTTTTTTCTGGGGTTTATAATCGATTTATATCTTGAATTAAATTTTTTTTGAGGGAATTGAACGGAAAGAAATTGTAGATTTTTTCTCGAAGGGAATTTATTCCTGAATATTTATGTTAAAAAAATCCTGGGATCTTACAGTTTGAGAATTCAGTCGATTAATCCTTCGAAACGGTATTTTTTAGTTGAAAATAATAACCGCAATTTTATTCAGCGCAGAAATAGTTTTTTAGGTCTTTATTTTTTTTTGTTTTTATGTAAAAATAATGGAAATATTACTAGCGAATTCAATTTATTCCTGAATTCAGAGTGGGTTTTGTTACGGTTTGGCCGAGGGATCAGATTTTTTTCTGGGGTTTATAATCGATTTATATCTTGAATTAAATTTTTTTTCGGGAATTGAACGGAAAAAAATTGTATATTTTTTCTCGAAGGGAATATATTCCGGAATTTTTATGTAAAAAAAAATCCTGAGATCTTGCAATTTGAAAATTAAGTCGATTAATCCTTCGAAATTGAATTTTTTAGTTAAAAATAATAATCGCAATTTTATTCCGCGCAGAAATAGTTTTTTACGTCTTTCAATTTTTTTCTTGTTTTTATATAAACAACATGGAAATATTACTATCGAATTCAATTTATTCCTTAATTTGAAATCAAAGTTGATCCCGTTTTATAGATTAAAAATAACATTATTTTTTTTTTTAGTGAAGAAATAGTAATTTTGTAACATTTATTTCTATTTCGTTGCATTCCCGTTTTTCTTTTCTCTGAAATTTATGATCACTCTGCCATTATCACCGCTCCCACGGCTGCGGAGGTTTGCTTTTATGGATAAGTAATCTTCCAACACGGAGGTTACCTCCAAATACACTTGGGAGATAAGCGAGTATCAAGGGTGTGACGCCGAGAATGGGAAATTAAATAAATTCCAGCGGGGATACGTGAAATGAGATAAAAGGGGGAAGAGGAACGAATCACTGACTACTGTATTTCTCGGTTTTATGGTGGCTGTAATCGCGGTCGGCACCGGTTTTGGATAAGAATCTCTCATAATTGGAATTTCATCTTTACTACGGCTGAGGGGGGGCTCCCGGCTGCTCCCTGAGGGGTTTATTTATCGATGTGGCGGTGCATTCCCAATTTTTCCACTTTGAATATTTAATATTCGGACATTTACCAAGATTGTCATTTTTTTTGTCGAAATATAGAACGAAAAAAAATGTTCCTTTAAAAAAATAAAAATAATTAAAAAATTGCAAATATAGAAGTTAAATTTTTTTTTCATAAATAAACTATAATTTTTTTTTTTCATTCAACATTACAACAGAAATCAATTTCCATCATTTATTTACTAACGAAGAATTTCTAAAATCGATTTTTTTGCAAAATACACATTCAGTGAAGCGTTTTATTCGATTAAATAAATTTTATTTAAGCAAAATAAATGAATTTATTGGTTTGAAGGAAAAAAAATTGGTGACATGAACATAAAACACAAAAATGGAAAGAATTGAACTCATTTAATTCACTAAAATAAACTTCATTTGACGGAAATAAATGAACTGATTAGTTTGAAAAAAAAATTTGTTATTGGTAAAAGTCCGCAGAATAAAAAAAAATCCATTGAAAAAAAAAACGGAAAAAATTGAACATTTTTAACGCTTGTCCATCAAAATTCCTTTGTCCCCCGTGCGTGAACCGGTCCGAGATGATTTCGAGCATAAAGGAAACCCCATTCCCTCCCGTTTGACTGGACCCTTTTTTCCATATCCTTTGAGCCCTCGAGAAAGGGGGGAAGAATGCAATATTATTCAAAATCACGAGAAATCTCCAGTGGAATTTTGTTATTTTGTCCCCCATTGAAATGCCCCTCAGATGCATATCTAAGATTTATTTTTTTGAATAATGTGAATGGGGGACCCTTCAACCTCATCTAATGCCGAAAAATACATTCACCTCTTCATCCAACGGGTGAGGCAGGTAAAAAGGGTCAACAATGGGAAATTGGACGTTTTGGGTGAACGGATTCTATTCGATGCAATCAGAATGCGGGGGGAGCACCCTTTGTTGGGAGTATTATTTTTTTTATCCACCCTCACGTGACGAGTTTCCCCAATTTTTTTTTCTCAGTTACCACCTGTGGATCGTTCTGGATGACGTGAATTCGTACAATTTTTTTTTTTTATATTCGGCGATGAGAGGGAATTTTCGCAGCTGCCCCTTTCGATTTTCTCGGTCCAGATGGTGAATCTCAGTTCTCTGAAACTCTTTCCCTATTTTCTGGATTTTTTTCTCTATTTAAATAACGAAAAAATCAGGGAATCAAAGTGTTTTGTAATTTTTTTACTGAGCGATTGGTTTTTTTTCTAAATGTCGTAGCGGTTTGTACACTTGTTCTAGAGTCACATTCGCGGGGTCTTTTGTACCTGGTTTAACCCTTTCACAGGTGAATCCCCTGCCGTGGCAACCCTTTCCTCGGGCATTGTTGGGCGTTTCCGTTAACCCGTTCGGTGGGGACCACCAGTTGAGTGGTTTCTGGGGGCTTGATGGACATTGTTAGCAGGTAAAGGGTTGAATTTTAGGTCAAGGGAGCACAGGGGCAAGATAACAGTACATCAGATCTAGTCTAAAGTGATGTGATAATCGTCGCGATTGTGGAATTTTGAAAAATATCTTTTTTTATATGAAATGATCAAAATATCTGCATTTTCATTATCCTTATTCAACAGTCCGTTTCATCCCTCTCTTCCTTATCGAATGAAAATAGAATTTCAATAATCCCTCAAAGGGTTTCTACAATAAAAATTGAAAACACGTTAAT